GAGAAGAAGAAAGCGTGAGGGTGATTTGCTCATATGGACTGGTTTATTTGTTTCCTGTTTGGCCTGTTTCTTAAGACGACACGCGGAGAAGGCTCTTGGGGGGGGGGGCGCAGGCCGCTTTTATGTTTCTGTGTGCAAAGATGGCTAGCGTTCCCTGCACTGCTTAGGGATGTGGACGGGGTTTGGCGCCACCCAAGGTGAGGCTTATGACCTTGCTTGCCGACACTGGTCTGACCGCGTCGGAACGTGCGGCTTAGAAACCGTGGCAACGATTCCGTGGTCTGCGAGAGCGTGGCGGGCTTTGCACACACCCCGCACATTGGCCGCAGTTTGAGGCCTCTTATCTTTTTCCTGTCATGGGCGGTTAGAGGTATGGGTAGACAACGCGCATTTCGCGGGCACCCGGCGACGTGCCTCGTCGCGGGTGCGGCTCCACACGGTTGTTTTGCTTTGCAGCGCTCCCCTAACCCTTCTCTCATGCAGGCGGAAGCACTGGCTGCTTTTTTCTTGCCTTGCTGGCATTCGCCGGCGGTTTGCCCCAACGCATCGGTGCCTGCACGGACTCTGACTCGCTGCGGATTGACGCCTTTGAAGAGGAGAGCAGCGCGCCTTGGCGCGGCAATTGGAAGTATTATTTTGTGTCCTATTTTTGGCGTTCACGGCATCTCCGCACGGATGGCGCGTCGCGTGGTTCTAGCGGCTGGCCGCTTTGTGCACTCACGACGAGAGCGCAGCTGCCGTGGGTTGGTCTGCGGACCAATTGGCGTCTGGGTGTTTGCTGGGCCCCGTCCGGGGTGCAAAGGTGCGTCCGCCGGGCCGAACTGCGGTCGCCTTGTTTCGCTCTTTCGCTCTGCGGGGGCCGCCGCCAGGCGGATACTCCTCGCGAAGATTGTACGTGAGGAAATAAGGTGGTGTTTGATCTACTTATCTTTGCATCGATTGTCGGGAAGCGTAAGTTTTCGAAGCCCATTCAAACCCAACCCGCTCTGCCGCCGCGTGGGAGGCGGGTTAAAAGCCTCCTTTTGCGTCGTTACGCGGTGATTAGAGAGAATGCGGGTCCGCCGCACGCACACCCCAGTGACTGGGGTATTGCATGGGCATGCAAGTCGGCCATTCAGGTGGCACGGAAGCGCATCCATTGTGCTTCCTTTCCCTGCCTCATCGTTCTATTAGGGAAAAAGCAAAGGCAAAAACGGTTCCTTCCGTACCTCCTTGTTGCTGCTGTCCTTTCCTTTGGGATCCTGCGCGCTGCTGGGCGTGTGTGTTCACGCGGCCACGGGTGCGGACGGGGCCCTCAAAGCAAGCGAGTCCCGCGTGGGGGTGGGTGGCGTGCGAAGCGAGGCCACGCCGGAGGCCGATGCGTCGCCGGTTTGCCGCTTTAGCACCGCTGGGGAACACATTGGCTAAACGAAACTAACTCTTTTAGGAAAAAGTCTTTCCCTTTTATAGGCTCTTCTCTCTCGCCCCGCCTCGCCGGCCGTGGCTTTCGCTTTGCCGTGGCTGTTGTTCCCTGCCCTTTCCCTTCCGTGCGCTGCAGGGCCGCCACTCACCGCACATAGGGCCCCCGACCGCCGTCATCAATTACAAGCCGGCGCAAAAGACGGTCGAAAAGGCAACCGGGTGAGACCGTCGCGCTTTCACGACGCAGTGAAATCGCTCTAAAGGTTTGCTTCTCAGCACTGCTGTCGCAGCGCGTCAGTGAGAGGAATGCGCCCGCGTAGTGACGAGTTTCCTGGTAAAAGTGGCCGTATTTTGTGTTTCTCACGCGTGCCGCCGCGCGTCCTCTCTCTCTCTCTCGCTTTGCCCCGCTATTTGCCTACTACTCGCCGCGTTGCGGTCAGAGGGGGTCGCCGCAGACCATGTGAAGTGACTCGCGACACCCCGGCGCCATGAGCCGCTTCCACCGCGCACCACACAGGCGCCCAGCGCACGCGGGTGAGTTGGGGCAAGTTGCGTTTGCGCTGCGGCCGACGGGATCGATGGACGGCGCGTCTGCAGCCGCATGGGTCGGAAAGAACACAAAGACGAGAGGCTGCACCGCTTTCATCTCCTTCATAGAACGCCAGAACTCCGTTCCTCCAACACGGCCTTTTGGGGGTCCGTCGCGTTAGGCGCACGCCGACCGCACGGCAGGCACCCGCCGCGAAGAGGGGACCACCGCAGACGACGAAGCCACGCCGCACACCCAAGCCAAGAACGCCACCCGCAACAGGAAGAGCAACGGAAGGCCCGTCTTTACAGGAACAAAAGGGCTGGCAAGAAACGACGCACGCGTTTTTGTTTTTATGTGGAGAAGACAAAAAAAAAAGCAAAGAACCCAAGCGCGCAGGCGCGGCAGGCAGAGCGAACCAGCAATAGAAATGCCTCTCCGCGGAAATCAGGCTGAAGCTGCTCAGACCTCCGGATCCTCCTTTGCAGCACTCGCCGCAGGAAGTCGACGCCAACGGCGGAGCACACAGAGTCAAGCTGAGATTATTATTATTTTTTTTTTTCACACTCCTAAGCCGGATAAATCCTCCGTAGAGCGACGGTTTGTTTTCGCAGGAGAGAACACGCAGTGTCGGTCACCTGCCTCTCATTCTCGCACCGTGGCCGTTGCCGCCCTCTCCGCTGGCCGAAGAAAAAGGCGGTACGACACAAGTTCCCTCTTCCTTTGCGCCCTCTCAAACCCAGTCGTCTCGGCATGGCTGTTTTACGCTACGCCTGGTTTTCCTGCTGCTCCTGGCGCCCGCTTGCGGCGGTGGCAACGCGCAACGGCGAAGCACATTGCCATTTCCACGCGCCCTCGCCTTTTTAGCGCATCGAGGCAGATGCTCCTCCGAACCCGGGTTGCTTCTATTGCGTGGGCGCCGCGGCCGCCGCGGAGCGCGAACGAAGCGCCCCGCTCTACCCGCAACGAGGAGGTCCCTTCCCAGTAAACGTGGAGCCGTCATTTTTTTTTGTTTGTTTCTTTCGTTTTTGTTGTTTGATTCTTCTTTCCCTACATTACGGAAGCAAAATACCTCAAAACCCGGGCCGACCAGAGCAATAGATGAGTTATTGGGAGCGGGGAAGTTTCAACTCGAGCGGAAGCGCCCCGCCGCCGCCGGAGAGACACAAGCGGAGCCGCACCGAACACCACTACCCCGCGCCTCCGAACGCGTGGAAGCCAGAGAGGCCTGACGGAATCATCGCGCGGGAAGCTCCGCCAGCGGCGCCGGCCGCCTTTTACGCCGGCGTTCCGCAGGGGACCGCCTGGGGGGACCGGCACCGCGCGGACGGGAACAGCGGGCGCCGCCCCGCAGAGGCGGGGGAAAGGGAGAAGAAGCCGGCGCCTGCCCACCCAGAGGGGCAGCCCAGTACCGGCGACGGAAAAGGAAGAAATAGGGAAGAAACAGGGAGGACCCCGACGGCCGAACAACGGCCACCCCCCGCAGAAAACCGATGTAGCCACGCCGCTCTGCAGGAGCTTTTGCGGCGCATTATAGCTCTCGAGTTTTCAGGCCGGTGCACGCAGCGGTCTATGGCAGTGGTGGAGGCTATCTGCGACACGCTCTGTCACACGCCTGTGGCGGTGGTGAAGGTGATGGAGGTTCTAGACGAGTGCTTTGCGGAGGCCGTTCAGCTGAAACAGCAGCAGCAACTCTTAAATTACTGGTACATAGTCGACGCCGTGATGAAACTCTTCCGCGACCGGCCCTCCATGCTAAACGCGGTTGTCGTTGCCCTGCCCCACCTCCTCCTTCAGTATGTGCCCTGGAAAAAAAGCCGGCTGGCAGAAGAGTCGTGGATGCAACGCGAAAGCGATGAGCATCGCTACGAACAATTGTTCCTCACCTGGGGCCGCGCCGTGCCGAAGCCACTTCTTGATGAAATATGGTCCATGTGGAAGAACGGCGCCCTCCCAACGGAGACGCCAACCCTTGATAGACACTAGGGAAGCCAAGAAAGGGAGAAAGCGGCGCACCCGCAGGAACAGCTTGCGCGGTGCGCCCATAGTAGGCGAGAAAAGCAGTACGCGCCACAGCGTCCCGCGCGCGCCCACGCCAAAAATAGGGAAAGAGCCTCGTGCTTTGCCTCTTTTACTTTTAATGCAGGAAGAGTGGGGATAAAAACCTTAAAAAGAAGAAAGAAAAAATAAACACCTGGCCATGGAAGTTTGCCGCATTGCACTGCAGGGGTTCTATTCGAGAAATATTTGTTTTCTATTATTCAAGCAGGCGTCTTTTTTTTTCCGGCGGTATTAATGGTTTTCCTTGCCGCAGCGCGCCCAAAGGCTGGACGTTTAGGGGCCGACTCGCGCGACGGCCGCTGGTGAAAACTTCCTTCCGTCGCTAAGTTTATTTATTTATTTTACCCGTTTTGGCGCCTTTTCTTTCCCTGTTTTCGCGCGCTTTCCATAGAATGCGTCTCGCTAGAACCACGCTGTGCCTGGCATCTCGCTGGGGGCGGAGTCCGGAGCTGTGTTCCCAGCAGCCCGCCTTCCCAGGAAAGAGGCGCAGGAGCAAGGGGCGGCGTGAAGCGGGAGGCGCGCGCGCGCCGCCCGTCCACGCCGAGGGGAAGAGGAGCCAACCCCCCAATTCTTCCTCGGCAAGCGCGCGCCCATGTGACAAACGGTGCGCGATGCAACCGCGTGAAGAGAGCAAGGGTAGGGCTGCTATGGGAACGCGGGGGCGGGAATCGCCGCGGCCGCGGGGCTCTTTTAGGGTGCGTTTTTGGGCGATCTCCCTGTGGAAAAGAGGCCGTTATGCTTGGCGACGTTTAACCCAAATATGCGTAAGGGAAGAGGCGCCAGTTTTGCCGCGCCGCCTCCCGGAAAAAGGCGGACGCGGGGACGCGCCCGAAGCAAACGCCCAGGGAGACGCAAAAAAACAGCATTCGCCCGCCCAAGTTTGAATTGTTTCCCCGCTTTTGCCTTTGCGTGAGGTAGCTGTGCTCGGCCTCGGCGCCTGAAAGCGGAGCAAAGCGCGCAACCGGGGAGACGAAGCGGGCCTCACGCGGCACGCCCTCTTTTTTTTTTGGTGTCGCAACTCGGCGCGCGTCTCGTGTTTCCACTGTCGGCCTCTTTCGGCGGCGGCGGGCTCTTTTCCCGCTTGGGCCTCGCAGGGCCGAGGCCGGCGGCCCTCCAACTCCAAAAGGCGGAGGCAATCCCAAAAAGCCCGAAGACGAGGTGGACGTCATTGTTTGTTGTTTTTTCAAGAGCCGGGAATGGGGAGAAGCGAAACGTACGACTGCAGCGACCCCAGGCGAAAAACTTCACCTCACGCTTTTCGGGCGCTCCGGTTTAGGCGTGGCAACGGCCAGCGAGAGTCTCAGGAAAGCAATGCCGCGTGGCGGTCTTCATCCGGCGGGCGCAGGGAAGCCGCCTACAAGCAGCGCGGGGCGCGTGCTGCACCGTTCGGCCCGCGCTGGCACCCAATTTTCGGAACAGGCCCCTCCCCAGCACTTTATGGCCCACGTGCTGTCCCCGCGCGGCGGCGGTGAGTTGGGGGAAAAACGGCAT